TGTTTACTGTGGCGAGCGGGACGAGTGAGGGCCGCGGGAGAACTGCGCGAGTCATGTTAACTGTGGCGAGCGGGACGAGTGAGGGCCGCGGGAGAACTGCGCGAGTCACGTTTACTGTGGCGAGCGGGACGAGTGAGGGCCGCGGGAGAACTGCGCGAGTCATGTTAACTGTGGCGAGCGGGACGAGTGAGGGCCGCGGGAGAACTGCGCGAGTCATGTTTACTGTGGCGAGCAGGACGAGTGAGGGCCGCGGGAGAACTGCGCGAGTCATGTTAACTGTGGCAAGCGGGACGAGTGAGGGCCGCGGGAGAACGACGCGAGGCCGGTGGCGTGATTACCGATGAGCGACACCTGTGAGACGCACCGGTCTCGTATCTCTCACAGAGGAACGGGGATTTTCTTAGCAATGTTAAAACACACATCAACCGATCACTTGTTTAGCATTCATGTAAACACTACATTCAGATTCACCAATCGGAATGAATTCAGTTAGATTGAAACAAAAGCTGTGCATGTAAACAATGAATGGCGACTGCAGAAAACAAAAGCTGATTCACGGACATCGACAACCGGATATGTCCGGGAAAAAGAGGATGGATACTACTCAGCTTTCTCCACAGAACAAGAGCCTGCTAGCTTAGTTTCCAAAAAAAGATGGCCGACACTATGTGTTCATTCTGTGAGTGAGATCACCCTCTATGGGCGGGTTGAGAACATGCGGCACAGACCCTACTACTGACTGTAGACAAAAAATCCTCCGATGAAGCAAAATGGCGATTTTTGTGTCAACGGAGGATTTTTTCCAGACAAAAAATACATAAATCTCTCGTCTCAGGGGGATATGAGGGTGGAAAGCATGGTAATTCGAAAATACTACAGGTTTTCTACTAATACAAAGCTTAATGCTAAATCCTGAAGTATTCCTTTAAAGAATACTTTAAACTTTAGTACACAATAAGACAGGGTCATTTATTAATAAATATAATAGTGTTTTGAGCCATGACGACACACAAGAGCTGTTTTGTTCAGCAGATGCCCTGTTCTCTTAGCAGAAGATAAAGCGCGATTGTTTGAAGCACGTGGAGGTGAATGGGTTTCAGTATCCCAGCAGAAGCTGACTGTCATGAGTGGCTGACTGCCACAGGCCTCGGGTTTGATATTCCCGGCCATATCTTGTGGAGAGGCATCTCATCCACAGCAGAAAAAACACCCTCTATAACAGTACTTTAATATTGCATGCTTTCAGGTCAGGGAGAGCAAATGTTTTCCAGCTGACACTTGCAAACATCTCCAGGGGTAATTTACAATCTCCTCGAGGAAAATGTTATTACACTGAGAATGTTTTGGAATTGCAGCAGTGTTTCATGGGTAGGGCATGGCACCGTGCCAAGGTCATGGCTTCACTATTCACATACGCAGTGAAAGTGTCAAATGCAAAACATTTTATTGTTATAAAGTCATGCCTTATTTTTTAAACCCTGAAATTGTGAAGATTCAAGACAGGATATGCTGTCTTCCACAGTAATAGTCTTTCGCTCTTTTAAAATAAACTCACGATGAATTTGCACTGTAAAAAATAATCGTGATTTTTAACGGTAAAAATGCTACAGTGCAAAACTGTTAATTGGTTAACAGAACGTTTCCGTACTATATACGGTAAATAACTGATTTACAGTTTTTGAAAGTGAAAAAGAACAACTCATTGTATAATTTACAGTGAAAAACCATAAATTGACATTCCCACAATTCCCTCTGTGACACTTGACATTTTATGTATTTTTGTTGAAATAACCAAGTTCCTCATAGTTTTCTTGTTTTTCTTCTAATCAGTTGTGTTATTAGGGGCCAAGCACTGAAGGTGCGGGCACCTATTGTAATCGTTCTGGTTCTTTTATTCTTCTTCTTCCGTTTCCGACTGGGCGTCTATGGCAGCCCATAGACTGTTTTGCGGGAAAGTTGTTTTGGTTTGACATTCTGATAGAGGACAGTCCCAACATTAAATAGACCAATTTTGGTGTCTCTATCTCATTCCCTCTAGCGCCACCAACTGTCCAAATTTTGAACCGTAATGCCTATCAACAAAATTGGGTGTGGTACACTTATTTTCACGGGAGTCATCTTTTTGAGTTCCTGAATCATTGCCGAGTCCAACGAAATCAAACATGCTGGGTTTCGTCTTATGGTTGGTGTAGCGTAGTGATTTAGCGCAAAAAAAACATTTGGCGATATCTTCGAAACCGCTGTTCCGATTGAGACGAAACCACAAATCGGAAACATAGGTCGATAGTTAAAACAATAATGCCCAAATGCAAAAAAAATGATGGGAAGGGGTAGTAAAATTCAAACAAAGTCATGTGTTGGTCATTTTTTACGTGTTTTTTTCATGTAAATGTCTAACTCTGAAGCAAATTGAGATATTTTCGCCAAAATTGACACACGTATGTATGGGCTCACTCTGAGGACACATAAAACAATTGTGGGACTGACGCCGCCTTCACACTGGCAGTTTAAATCAGCTCCGTAATACGCAATACGTTCCCAACGGACGTCGTACTACACAGTGAAAAGCGTCGGACGCGGGTAGAACAAAAATTGCGGAGAGATTAAAGTTTGATTGTATCAGTTCTGTATGGTCTCTCTGATGAGGGTTATGCTGCGTGAGGAAAGTTGCTCAGGACGTTGACATGTTAGGTCGAATAAAAATGTGATAGTGGTCAATAGTTCAATGTCTACCTTCAATTTAATTGTATTAACTGCCCTTATAAGCGTTAGAAAGTCATGAAATTATAAAATGACATGACAACTTATCGTTATAAAATCATTATTTCTTTTATTAAAAGTTAATAATTCAGGTTTGTTTATCAGTACCATAGCAACGCTCAACTTCCGCTGGAATTGTCGGATAAGAACCGTCCGTAGCTTTTCGCACGAGTTCAAATTTTTGAACGCATCCGGATGACCAACGGACACGATTTTCTTCGCACCGCACTCGGTCTGACCCATTCGCATGCGGTCTGCGAATCTCCATAGGAAATGAATGACTTCCGGTCGTTTCGCAGCCGCATCGGAGCTGATTTCAACTGCCCGTGTGAAGGTGGCGTGAGCCTCTTGGTGGCGCTATAATAGAACAAAACGTGAAATTCCCATTGATTTCAACAGTTTTGTGAAATAAAATACTATACTAAACAAATGCTTTGGTCTAACATTAAGAAACTCAGTGTATGCCATAATCATTCAAGATATTCTTTCAAAATTACTTTTTTTTGCTTTCCGAAGTAGAAATAAAGTTAGTTATTTTAAGAAACTAAACCGGGTCAGTTCATGAGTTCATGTTTTCATTCCTCAGTGTTGCCGTTTGAACATTTTATTTATATAAATTCTGTTATGTAAGGAAAATGGCACAATGCTTAAATTCCACGTTGTACTTCCTTTTTTTGTAATATTTGATAACAATAATAAATAAATATAAATTCGCTACTATGGTGCAGTGTCCTTAATCTAAACTTATCTTATCTTATTGCGTATTACCCTGAGCATGTAGCAGTTATCTTTCTATCTACATGCTTTACCTTCCATAATATATAACCAGATTGTCCCCTTTTCCAGTGACCTGACACTCTATACAGTCATTTGCTGTATAATGACTCTTATGTCATTCATCCTTGCACACCGTGTGTGTGTGTGTCGCGCAGGAGTTCATTATTCTGCTGTGTAAGTGAGGGAGGAGGACTGTCGGATACACTGCTAATGAGCAGTCTCTGTGTTAATTAGGCAAAGAAGAACGATTGTGACTGAATGAGGCGGTTTCTGACTGAACTCCCCGACTGATATTATTCATATTAATATAACTTGTGATGTGTATCTCGTGGCAGACAAAAAAAAAAACAGGAGTTCACTTGGAGTTTATAAAGTTTGTGAATTTATAAACCAGATGCTAATGTGATGTTTTATATTTATACCATCCCGATTTCTGCTCATGCTGTTTTCCACTATTGAGCTGGAATCTTCAATGTTTCAGTATTATGCATGCAAAAGTGTTTCTGTAGCAAAAAATTCGTTTCTGCCAATCAGTTCAATAAATAAATGTCAAATTGTGATTTAATCAAATTATTTTGTCACTCAAAAACATTTTTTCTCTCTTGATTTCACCAAATCTGATTGGCTGGGAGGGTTGTAAAAGAGGTTTACCAGATTGAAGACAGAGACAATTTATATAGAGACATGCAACTTTCGAAATCCTCAATACAACTATATAGGGAAAACCCGTAACGCCAAAGATGGCGGTTGAATGCACATGCCCCGCCCCTCCTGCTGGAAAGCCAATCGTCTGCTTTTAACAGTCAAGCCGGGAAGCGTGTAAGCCTATCGTCTGGTTCCATTGACGAATGCGCACAGTTGAGGTTTGCGACAGTGGAGACGAGAACCCTTGCGTATGCGCAGTAAACGCATAACCTGTGCAGAAAAGGGCGTTTTAAACCTTATTTTGGGGCAAAGTGATCAAACATTTTCTGCGATTTTTATCATATTTTACCGCTGTTGACCAGTAAAAAGTGCAGGTCTGACTCTCTGCTCATTCATTTAGATAGGAGCCTGGTCTTGTTAGTCCGAAATGGCTGCCTGGAGGCGTTGCCAAGATGGCGGCCGAGTGCCATGACTGATTAAGAGGGCTTTGTTGAAGATTAAAGATGACCTTTTGAATTAATTTTAGAGCAGTTACATAAAAACTACTTTGCGTTTTGCATTTTGTATCAATATCTCAATGGTGGTGTTAGTTATTCAGTGCATATGTTTGTTTACTCTTACATATTTCTTTTCTGTATTGGGTATAAATAAATGTCACTTTTATTATTCACTCATTTTCTGACTAGACGATCTGGATTAGATTGAGTTCTTGTCCTGTTTTGATGCTCATATTTATTATTAAATGTCTTTCTCTTCATAGATCATGTTGCAAAACTGTGTCAAATGGCATCAGTAACCCAAGCAAATGTGTGTTTCAGAGACGCTCTGGGCCTGAGATCCTGTGAATGAGGACACCATTGAATGAAACCAACTCCAGTTTCGGGTATGAAAACACACAATCTAAATAATTTGTTGTGTTTGTGCATCTTTGTCTTGCGGAGCTGACAATCGGCCTCCAGAAATAGCTCTAATTGGAAGATGACATGTCTCTAAAGAGCCCTCTTTTGATACACAGTTGTCTCATGATGTTCTCTTACAGTCGTGCACGATGAAAGAGATTTACTGAGATTTGGCTGTTCCAGGAAGAAAATGTTTTGTTTTTTTTTCTCAACAAAATTGATGTTTTTTTTCCTTTTCCCATGATCTCTATCTGTCTGTCTTTCACACCTTGCTGCCAAGTTTTTTTTTAGTCTTCCCTTAGAGGTAAAAAGAAGTTCAAAATATGTGATATACAATGTTAGCTGACATTGCGTTTAGTTGGAAATGTAAATATCTGCTGCACTCTTTCCTCCTAAAAACAAAATAAACACACAAAAATGAGAGCTGTGAGAAAACAGCACTAAAGAAAGCATCTAATGTAGCGATTATAGATGTGTTTGCACAATTCGGCACTCCAGTCACGTCACGTTTATTTATACACTTTATACAATTGGTATTAAACATGAAAAAACAGTAACAGCATCAGAAGTACATCTTCATTTTCTACTGTAAAGCTGCTCCTCCGGTGTGTTCTGACATGTTTCACTCACGGACGGAAGATTTCCATATCAAAGAAGGCGGAGCCTCAGAGCCACACCCACCTATTACGCATTCGCCACGGACCAATGGTAGTTCGAAGGTGTTTAACCAGCCAGATTGAACTTTTCTGGAAAGTTCGCTTTGGCAATCTGTTTCAAACTTCAGAAGCAAACATGATTTGGACTGATTTTGTTGGAAATTACTAGTTCGTTCTTAGATCTCGCTTAAAGTATATCGGCAAAATTTGCTCTGGCAAAATTTGCTCTCTTTAATATTGAACTATCTTGTTGCTATGGAATTCAAATGGGTTGTTAACACCATTTCATGTTTCATGATTTTAAACCTGGCAAGACCAAGTCCCAACACAACTCATGGCTCACAGGATGACACATTCTGCATGTCTTCTCAAAAGCAGAGTTTATTTGAGCAGGCTGTTTTACTAGGCCTGTATCATCTGATATGCAAGTCCTCAGGGAACCGAGAATGATCTCTGTCTGAATCAACAGTAAGAGGAAGTGTGTGAGGTGCCAGAAATGGGCGCCACACTGGCTCAGTGGCCACGTCACTTCACAATGCAAACTGCAGAACGTCCTGTTGTCTGACTATCCAAACTTATGCAATCCAGTCTTCTCATGCTTTCTGAAAAATATTAGACACTATTGTTTTTAAGCATGATAAATAATGTCAGAATTAACTAAGCCTGTTTCCACCTCAGACTAAAACATTTTAAAAGATAATTGCGACTTTATATCTCACAATTGTGTTTACATCTCACAATCGTGATTTTTTTTTCCTCAGAATTGCATTATATAAACTTTTTTTGCAATTTCAAGTTTATATCTCGCAATTCTGACATAAGAATTATTATTATTTAGTCTGACAGAATTGCGATATTTAAACTCACAATTGTATGTTATAGTCAGAATTGCGAGATATAAACTCAATTGCGAGAAAATTCTGAATTGGCACAAAGTTTATTTCTTCAAATTCTGACTTTTATAACTCTTCATATGCAATTCTGAGGGGTGAAAAAGCCCAGAGAGACTTTTTGGTATCCAGAACAAATCCAGGCAAATTGCAACAGTTGTCTAAAGTAATTAACTAATAAAACTTTTTTATTGGAAATGGTTTAAAACTACATAAAACAGCAGCTCACACTCATCAAATTTAGCAATGTGGAGTTATACACATACACACACACACACACACACATATATATATATATATATATATATATATATTAGGGCTGTGCAAAAATTAATTGCGATTAATCGCATCCAAAATAAAAGTCTGTGTTTACATAATATATTTGTGTGTGCTGTGTATAATTATTTTGTATATATAAATACATATGCATGCATGTATATATTTAAGAATTATTTGCGCTTAAATTTTGTATATATATATGTATATAAATACAAAATCTATATTATATAAATATAAATATTTTATATATGAATAACACATTTTCTTAAATTTATACATGCATGTGTCTGTATTTATATATACAAAATAATTATATACAGTACACACAAATATATTATGTAAACACATAAACACAGACTTTTATTTTGGATGCGATTAATCGCAATTAATTTTAGCACAGCCATAATATATATATATATATATATATATATATATATCATTGTATGTACAGGAACGTATGTGAGGATTATTCTGGTTTTATTTAATTTGGCAACATTGAATATTAAATGCGTTTTCAATGCGTAGCAAATGCGGAAAAAAATTTGATCTCGTCTAACAACTTTATATGAAAATGTCGTTACGTCTTCAGAAAACAGTGGCCAACGTTTACTTTTACATTGCTACCAAAATAATAAAAATACATCAATACATAAATGATTGATATTCATTATAGTGCCCACTTCTAGTAGTAATGTTACTTCTATTTTTTTATAAATATATATCAAAATTCACAATTGGAGCCCATCTGACTTGGAGACCTGATTTATCTGTGGTGCAGAGTACGGTTTAATTAAAGCAGCTTAATTAAGTGTACAATCTGTCTGAACAATGTCAGATTCCTCTGAAATGAAGCTCCGCAGCATCTGTGTGGGCATGTGATGGTGTGAAGGTCAGTATGTGCTGTAATTCCGTCCCTTCTGTTCACATAAAGCTGTAACCCTCAGCCACAGTCTTTAGTTCTGGCATGACAAATACAAGGCTCTGAGGCTTGAGGCTTTTTAAGGTGTGTGCAATGTTTAAAACGGTTTGAAAGCAGCTTTAATTAGCTTCTGAAAGAGTAGAAATCACCCTTAGACAGCAACAGACACCTTCTAGTGCCCACAATCAAATGGTGTGAGAAGTTCCACACACACCTGAGACCAGAGCATGTTAGAACAGAGACTGTTGGGTCAAATGAGGCTCTTCGTCAGGCATACTGTAGTTTGGTCACCGGTTATCCATTGAACAGCAGTTCTGTACCTGTTAGTATCACAGGTGATGGAATCTTTGAAAATGTGTGTATACCTGTTGCCAATTGGTTAAAACCATTTGGTTTTAAATCTCAAGAAGCAATTGAGGAGTGCTGTCCTGACTCGCCCTTTTTTCCCCTCAGAAATTTCCCACTAGGTCTTTGAGGCTTTGTTTGTTTCAGCCCTTGCGTGACTAGCAACAAAAGCTTTAGGCCTTTTGCTCTAAACGTTTGTAAAATTTAGAAGGTACAAGAAAGATTAAAGAAGCCTTTAATCTGGATTTTGCTGTTTTTAAAAGGACAAGTTGCCAGAATCTCCCAAAACACAGTTGTATTATTTTGTCTTGGCGATATGGCCAAAAACATTATCACAATATTTTTTTTCATATCATATGACATTCAACATATTTGTTAGACCTTGATAATGAATGTAAGCATGTAAACACCACAAACGGTAGTAAATACCTTGTAATGTAGGTCCCCATGAGATTGTCCATAAATTCTGTTTCCATTTAATTTTTAACAATTATCGCCCAGCCCTGTTGATTGTTGATTAGTCTGTGAAAAAAAAAAGTATTGAGAATTGTAAGAATTGTAAGATAGGGAAGTTGGTAGGTAGACAAGATAGACAGCTGGATTTATATAACTTAGATTTCTTTCATCCACAAGTTTCCGAGGGGCGCTCCTGTAAAAAATAAAGTGGGTGAAACTTCCGGTGAGGCGGCGGAAGTAGCATTCCAATGGTATTTTGTGTGTTAGTTAGCGAAGAGGCTAGCTGTTTTTCAGAGAATTATTTTACTATTTAAAGACGCAAATCTTTATGAGAGATGTCGTTACGGAGCTCAGGGACAACATGTGCCGTTCGCGATTGCCCAGCTAGGATTTTTTTGTTCTAAAAATGTTCTGAGAACATTACCATGCAGTGTTCTAATAATGTTTTCAGCGGGTAGTTTTCTTTTGGTTCCTAAAATGTTCTCTTAAAAGTTCTAATAACATTCTCTAAAAACATTCTAAATATGTTAAATGCTAACATTGTTAGAACATTATTTCCTGACGTTCTTATAACATTTTCAGCGGGTAGTTTTCTTTTTGTTCCCAGAATGTTCTCTTAAAAGTTCTAATAACATTGTCTAAAAACATTTTAAATATGTTTATTGCTAACATTGTTAGAACATTATTCCCTAATGTTTTTATAACATTTTCAGCGGGTAGTTTTCTTTTGGTTCCTAAAATGTTCTCTTAAAAGTTCTAATAACATTGTCTAAAAACATTTTAAATATGTTTATTGCTAACATTGTTAGAACATTATTCCCTAATGTTCTTATAACATTTTCAGCAGGTAGTTTTCTTTTTGTTCCCAGAATGTTCTCTTAAAAGTTCTAATAACATTCTCTTCTACATATGTTATGTACATATAACATTCTAAATATGTTAAATGCTAACATTGTTAGAAAATTATTCCCTGACGTTCTTATATCATTTTCAGCGGGTAGTTTTCTTTTTGTTCCCAGAATGTTCTCTTAAAAGATGGCATAACATTCTCTAAGAACACTCTGAAAATGTTTTGTGATGACCTTCTATAAAGGTTTAATCATAACATTTTTAAAACATTATCCCCTAACTTTCTTATAAAGTTTTTAGCGGAAGTTTATTTTTGTTCCCAAAATGTTCTCTTAAAACCCCTCAAAAATGATTAGCTATAACATTGTTAAAGCATAACATTTTATTAATCTCAAAACTAAAACATCAAAATCTAACAGGTTTATAAATGGCATCCACATAAATTATTAGAACTTCTGCGTACAGTAAATGCCCAACATTAGCTACATGAAGAACTCAGTAAAGTCACTCATGCGTCTTGACTCCAGTGTTTGCTCAGAGCACTCGAGTCATCATCAGTTTTTGCTTGTTTTGGTTCTTGCAGAAAAATA